ACCCCACCCCTTCCCCTACCCTCTCCAATCCCCCACCCCACCCCTTCTCACTCTCAAGCTCCCTGATTCGGGCCTGCTGTTCCAGGGCCTGAGACACCTTCTTCTCCAGGGAATCCTGAAGGGTCACCTGAGTCAGAAAAGCATCAGAAACATGGGTTGGCTATTGTTCTGGCCCCTAGAAAAGGCCCAGGCCGAGTCATCTGAGACCTTCTACTCAAGCAAAGCCCCTTTTAGGTCCCCCTCTAACGCTCTCCGTATCCACCCAGTCCTACCAACGCGTAATCTCCAAAATAGCAGTTTTAAGCGCCCACACGGGAGTTTGAAAACTCTTCATAGATAACCCCTATTAGAAAGTTCTAGATATTCTCTTGCTCAAACACACAGCAGAACGGGCCTTCCCAGACAAGGTATCTCAGAGACATAAAAGTTTCAATAATTTGCTAGCTGTGGTGTCGCACGCCTTTAATCTCAGCACTGGAAAGGCAGCATTTTAGGCCAGCCTGGTCTACAGAGTGACTTTTTGGACAAGGGAGATACTGAGGCCCCGGATTGCCGAGCTGTAGAGAGTTCTAAGGTCTCCCGGGATTTCACCATCCTTAGTGGGCTGGCCTTCAGGGTGGCGGGGGACTTGCTTGGCCCCGAGTCACTTGGGGCATAGGAAGGGGCAGTTTCCAGCCTTACCACCGTCCGGTTGCAGGAGTCTGCCTGAGTCTCGGCCTGCAGCAGGCTGTCCTGGGCGCGGGTGAGCTGGCGCTGCAACAGGTGCGTGGTGTTGCGGCACTCATCCTGCGCCCGCAGCCGGTCGTTGCTGGCCTCGCTGTGCCCTGTGACGCCAAAGTATATAGTCAGGGTGACTAAGACAGCCCCGATCAGGACCGCCAAGATCGCGGCCACCAGCCACCGCCGGCAGCTGCCCCATCCTTGCTTCTCGCCAATCTGGTCCATGGACACGGGCAGATAGTGGTAGAAAGAGGGTGCCATGTGGTGCGTCGATCCTAGAGCTTCAGAGGGCTCAGAAACCCTTTCCAGACCACGCCCTCATTAGCATAACCGCGCCCCCACTGCTTCTAGCAAACAGCAACTTCTGGAGTCCCAGGCAATCCTAGAGCAGCGGGGTTGCTACTTGGAATTGGAGGAACTGCAGCCTTTCAGTTTCATTTTCCTGAAAGAGGAGGGTTTTATCTTGGCCTTGTGAGGGGAAGCTGCTGTGGAATGCCCCTGGAAGCAAGAGAAACTTCTGGAACTCAACTCAAATTCTTGGCCTTCGCTGGCCAGTTACCAAGTGTCTGGTGCGTGTGGGCTTGGGACTCGTTTGAACGGTGGCTGTCCATAGCGGTTGTCGGTTTGGTCTCCTGATAGGGGAACTAAAACGACAAGGTTCAGTTGTGGGCTGAAGGCCAAAACAAAGGCCAAGGTTTGAGGTCAGGGTTCTCCATGGTGACTTTTGTATCTCCTTGATTCACGAAAGGATCATGGGAGCTATTGAGAGTTTGTGAATAGTGTCCGCAGTGCGGCGGGCAGGAAACCGAGCATGACCAGGCAAGGTAAGTGAGCCTCTCAGCTCTTGTCCTCCCATCAGGAGCATCCTGGTGGGAGGGAACACCCGTCATCAGGGACAGCAAGCTCCCCGTGAATGGAGCAATAAAGGAGTGTTTCAGTGAGCAACAGGCATTCAGAGAGGGCCTGACTCGGCTCTGGGCAAAAGTGACATGAAGCATGACCTGGAGTTAGCATAGGGTTTTGAGGAAAGATGGTGGGTACCATTCAGGACGTACAGCAACGCCAGAGAGGATTCTGGAGTAGTGGAGCACACCTGCCGTCGCAGCACTCAGGAGGAATAGAAGGACAGGAATTCAAGGACAGCTGGGTACATGAGAGCCTGCCTAAACACACACCTCCAAACCAAAACCAAACCCCAAAGGAGACACTAGAAGAGAGGCCCTTCTGTGGGGGTTGGAAGGGACTTCCTGTCTGTCCAAGGGAGGCAGAATTTAACAGGCACGACAGCAGACTGGTAGTTCCAGAAGACAGTTGCATACTTTTCCAGGAGATTTTTCAGCCATGCCCTGATTACAACCCAAATTTGACTCTATGGGTCATTTCCAAATATTTGTCACCTGTGGAGCCAAGGGTGGGGCTCTGATGGGGGTACCTGAAGCAGTAGACCAGCGCCTCTCTACCTGGAAGCCCCTTTGATGGCTGCCCAGCCTCTACAGAGTAAGGGGGGCGTAATCCTCCACCACCTCCCAAGAGGTCTTATTTAGTTGCCCTGCAATGAGGGGCTGTGACCCTTGAGACCCTTCAAAGCTTATTTACTGGGGGAACCATCTTTCCAGCCTTGTAGGCAACCGTGACCCAGCAGCAGCCAGAGTTGTGTGTCAAGCCAGCGGTGTCCCAGTAGTGGCCATAGAGTGGCTCTCTGGCCAGCTATGTGACACATTTACCAGCATACATCTCCTATGGCCCTGGCTCTCTGAAGTGACCTGTCCTTTGAGGCTCACACATACGTGGTCAGAATTCTAGGCTGACAATGTTCAGGTGAGTCTATAAATCCCTGGGGAGATGAGAGGGTCACTGACAGTCAGCAGGTCAGCATCGTCATGTGTCTGCTTTCGCCATGACACTTGCTTTCTCCTTCCTGCTACCTATGTAGCCCAGGCTTCCCTGGAATTTGTGTCAATAGTCCTGCCTCACCTTCCTAAAAGACGGTCGATAGGTGTGTGCCACTGAGCTTCAATTGAATACTTGTTTCTATGGTGGGGGAAATGATCAGTTTTGGGGGCCCTGGGTGGCTTTGTAGACTTTACTGAGGACATGCAGGGCAGACCACATTCAGTCAAGGGTTCTTTCTCTTTAGGACTGAAACTGTGTGGCCAAAGTCAGCACTAGCGTATGAGAGATTACGTTTTCTGTCCTTGTGAAGACGAGCTTGCGTAATGAACACAGTGTTGTATTTTATAAAAAGAAAAAGAATCTAGGGACATGTTTGGTGGGAGCGTGGTATGGTGTGGGGGAGGAGTGCCTAGGCGGGCCCATGCTGAGGCGTCCCTTCCCCTGAGGGGCCAGCCACAGGATGTTACAGTATAAAATAGAGTTTATTCAGGGTATGGGGAGGGGAGTTGAGGGGGTAGTAGATACAGAAAGGGAGGGAGGGAGGGAGGGAGGGAGGGAGGGAGAGAGAGAGAGAGAGAGAGAGAGAGAGAGAGAGAGAGAGAGGGAGGAAGAGAGGTTGGCCATGAGCAGGTGGAGAGATGGGGGGAGGGGAATGGGGAGAGAGGAGAAAGAGAGTAATGGAGCAAGATCAAGAGGAGGAGAGAAGAGAGGAGGGGCAAGCAGCCTCTTTTATAGTGAGTCAGGCATACCTGGCTGTTGCCAGGCAACTGTGGGGTGGAGCCTAGACTAAATGCCAACACTCAGGATGAAGGGACATTTGTTTTTCTTCAATAGATCTGTTTTTGATACAGGTCTCAATATGTAGCTCTGGCCAGTATGTAGACCAGGCTAGCCTTCAACTCAAAGAGATCCATGTGCTTCTGCTTCCCAAGTGCTGGGATTAAAGGTGTGGGCCACCATGCCCTGATTGCTTCTGTATTTTAAAAATATTTATTCTTATTTTTTATACTTACTCATTTTTGGGTTTAGAGGCAGGGTTTTTCTGTGCACTTTTGACTGCCCTGAAACTCACTCTGTAGACCAGGCTGGCCTTGAACTCACACATCCTCCTGATCTGTCTCCTAAATGCTGGGATTAAAGGTGTCTGCCACCACTGCCCGGCTAGATTTTATGTATGTCTGCCTGTGGGTTAGGCACGGGAGAACGTGCCTGTGAAGGCCAGAAGAGGGCGTTGGATCCCTGGAGCTGGTTTCCAGGAAGCAAACTCAGGTTTTCTGCTAAAGCAGTTTAGGCTCTTTACCACGGAGCCACCTCTGCGGCCCCCATTCTCTCTCTTTTGATAAGAGGGGTATGTGAGTTAGCTTGGGAGGAGGCTTGGATGGGGTTCTGAGCTAATGAGGTGACACAGGAGCTGCTGGGGCTGGTCAGGGTTAGCACAGGATTTCCCAGTGGCTGGGGATCCTGGTCAGAGTCCTAGAAAATGGCAGGTAACAGTCTGGAGTGGGAGAGCCTCCTGGGTTAGGGGTTCCTCTCTCTTCCTGTCTCTAAGATTTTCTCTTTCTGTCCTGCCTCAATCCCAGCTGCTTAGGAAGCTAACAGAGGAGGATCTGGAGTTCAGGGCCAGCCTCTGATACATACTGAAGCACTATATGAAAAAAGAAAGAGGCATTGTTGAAATAGCTCCGAGGGGAAAGGAGCTTGCCACTGCAGTGACTTCCAGACCCTAGCACAAGTGACTCCATGATGGAAGTACCATTTGGTCTGTTAAACTCAGCACATACACAGCACCACCTGCCCAAAATGAAAACAAAGGGCTGATCCACCAGAGTCCAGACTTCTGGGAAAACCTCTGAATGTGCTAATCTTGCTTTTTGGCTTATTTATTTATTTATTTATTTATTTATTTTTATTTATTATGTATTTATTTTGATTTTTCGAGACAGGGTTTCTCTGTATATCTCTGGCTGTCCTGGAACCCACTCTGTAGACCAGTCTGTTGTCAAACTCAGAAATCCACCTGCCTCTGCCTCCCAAGTGCTGGGATTAAAGGCATGCACCACCACCGCCCTGCGATTTTTGGCTTTTATAATTTAAATTCTGACTAACTGTTCTTGTTAACTGAAGTATGTCAACCCAGGACGTGGTCTTATGATTAAAAGCTCATCCTGAGAAAAGCTCAGGGCTATGCTAGGATCCCAAACACCCAGTGCAGTCAGTGTAGTCGGCTAATAAAGGCATTCTATTGGCTTAAACCATGCCTGAGCAGTCTTCTCTGGTGGATACCCCACAATAACAACTAAACTTGATGACTTGGGCTCCGTCTCCAGAACCTATAGGTAGTAGGACAGAAGGCATGCTATGTGCACACACACACAGAGAATACACTTGAATTTGCTTTAGGTTTATTTATTTTATTTCATGTGGTTGACTATTTTGCCTGTAAGTTTGCCTGTGTCGCATGTATGTGCAAGTGCCTGTGGAGGCCAGAAGAGGGTCTAGGATCCCTTGGAACTCTCATATAGATGCTGGGAATTGAACCTGGGTCCTCTGGAAGAACAGGCAGTGCTCTTAACCACTGAGCCGTCTCTCTAGCCCCAAAATAAACAAAACAAACTTTTCAAAAGGTAACAAATACAGAGACCTGCTCACCGCCATGCCAGTGAGGTTGGCCGGAAGACACCCAGAAGCCTGCCCAGGACGTGGCCTGGCTGTAAGGAGCCACAGTGACAAACAAGTGTGTGGCGGAGAGTTGGAGAGAGAGAGAGAGAGAGAGAGAAGCAGAGCTAGAAACAAGAGAGTGGAAAGGAACAGCCTGGTGTGAGTAGCCAGCCCCACCACCTAAGGCCATGGTGAGTCCATGCTGCTGCTGAAGGCCACGCAGTCTGGCCTGGATCTGTGGCTCATGTTACCACTAAAACCCATAAGGATCCCCTTGGTTTGGGCTGCTGCCCGTGACCATATTGTTGTCTAAGTGCTATGCTGAGCTGACCCCACCCCTTGCGGCCGCAGCATTCTAGAGTGGGCCCTTCTCCCACTTCTGGGCTGCATAGTAGAACTGGCCTTAGTGGTAGGGGGCAATAGTGAGCTGATTCCTGAGGGTATGAGTGCAGGAGCGCTCACCCTGGTGGTGAGGGTGCAGGAGACTTGGAAGGCTGACCAGCTCAGATAGTTCCCAGGCCCAGGCCCAGGGCTTTGAGTTGGCCCACCCCAACACCTACCCCATCAATGAACTGGTGGAGCATAGATCCAATGCCACAGGATCTTCATGTCACTCACAGGGCAACAACAGGAGGTCTGAGGAGTCCTGGTGAGGACCCAGGACTGATAAGTTCAGATGCCAGAGGCCTCGAACCAGACTAATGACTTCTTGCAACAAATGATTAAAAGCAAAGAAGTGTGGACAAGAGGGTACACTGTGTGACAGACACACTGTGACACACTGCAGTTTCCACAGGGAGATGTTTGTTTTTAGCTTTTATTTTCTTTTAGTGGAAAGGTTGCAAGGGTGGAGGGCAGGTATGACAAGATGGGGAGATGAGTGGGGGTTGTGGGACTGTAACCGTGACAGGGAAGTTGGTAAGGTTGAGCAAGTTCAGAGTCTGCGCCACCCAGGCACTCACCTAAGATGGTAGGCGGCTCCCTGATCCCTACCAGATTCCTGGCCTGGAATACATGCCACACTTCTCACATCGGTAACGCAAGCTGTGGTTCTGTAGATGAGAACAGAGTTTTCCATGCTAATGAGGGATCTAGATAGACCTCAAGTGTTTAGCCAATAAGTTTCCCTTCCTGGACATCCCTTCCTGCAACAGGTATTTAATCTCTGGTCCTCCCTGAGGAGGTGGTATGCATCCATTTTCCATGATGAGAAATCAATCAACAGTGTGGAACCAAGGACTGCCTCTTTCATCAAGAACCTCCATGGGGAGCATGGAGAAGGCCTTTGTCTACAGAGCTGCAGTCCTCTAAGTCTCCCACGGAAGGCCCCTGTGCTCCCAGACAACTAAGCGAAGGACTTTGGCCAGTGAGACCCCAATTCTCCATTCTTTGTTTCTCCATGACTTCCAGTTGCATCTGGATGTCCAGGAGTGTGAGAATCTCCAGTCAGAGCTCCCTGCAGGCCTGAGGGCCCCCTCTGTCCCACCCAGAGCAGTGTATTACCGCTTCCCTTGAACCCAGAACCCTACGGCAGTGCAGGGTAAATGGAGTCTAGCATCTCTGCCCAAGAGACATTTTCACATCCAAACTGTGGGGCAAGGTGAAACGAGGAACCACAGGATTGGGGTGCGTGATGTGAAATTCACAAGAATCAATAAAACAAATGTTAAAAATAGTAACAAATACATAAATGAAAACATATACCAGGGTGAGGGTCAGAGCCTGGAGAGAGCGTCCGCATCGTGTATGAGAAGCTCCGCAGTCCATGTGCAGGCCGGTAGAAAAAACGGTTGTGAGACCACCCTGACAAAGTCGCCATAACAACCAAGGGACCAGAAAGGGCATTTAGAGACACAACCACCCCGATGGTCAGGTTGTTCCTGATAGCAGGGAGAGGGTTAAAAAAACAATCCAGAGAAAACCTGCAGAATGTACTGATTAGTAACCAACTGTGTCCTTCACAGCCCTGGATAAACATAGCCCACCGGAAATCACTGCCTGAGTGAGTGTGGCCAGTAAGTTTAAAGGCTAAGCAAAGTGTCCAATTAGGTTTAAACAAGTTTTGCTGTTGCTAAAGTCTGCCTATGCTAAAGTATAAAAAGTGTGTGCTTCAGAAATTCAGGGTCCTTCCTCGTGCAAGAGTGAAGTGACCCTGACATGTTGGAATAAAGATTCCTCTTCCTGCCGGGCAGTGGTGGCACACGCCTTTAATCCCAGCACTTGGGAGGCAGAGGCAGGTAGATTTCTGAGTTCGAGGCCAGCCTGGTCTATAGAGTGAGTTCCAGGACAGCCAGGGCTACACAGAGAAACCCTGTCTCGAAAAACCAAAAAAAAAGAAAAGCTTCCTCTTGTTGATTGCATCAATCTCGGGTCTCCGTGTCTCTGAGCACTGTGTGTCTCAGAATTAAGACTTTCAGGTCCAGCACAGTCCCTTCCTCTAAAAGAACCACAAAGCTTACAGAGGCAGGTAGATCTCTGTGAGTTGCAGGCTAGCTGGTCTGCATAGTGAGTTCTAGGATATCCAGGACTACCTGAGAGACCCTGCCTCAAAAATCAACCAACCAACCAAACAGAAATAACCAAAACAACAATAAAACCCCATAATTTGCTTGTGAACTGGCTATCAGGTCTATATTATTTGTTATTTAAGTCAACAGCTGCATAGCCACAATGATTTCTTTGGTCAAAATCCTAGAACTGAAAGTGTTTCAAACTTCTTCTTTCTCCTCTATTTTTTTCTATTTTGGTTTATTTCCTTTTTCGCCAATATTTAAAGTATTTTTTGTTTTGTTGGGGTTTTGTTTGTAGTCTGTTTGTTTAAAAAAGGGTATTTTGTAGCCCAGGTGGACCTCAAATTCGTGCCTGTTGAAGTGATTTAGGTATCACGATCTTGTTCTGACTGTTTTGTGCCTGTCTAGACACTCTCAGTCCTCCCACCCATTAATAGCCACACCTGCCTTGGCAACAGTCATGGGGCTGTCCGTGACCTTGACCATGTCCAGATGTATTAACCACAATATCTTGTGCAAGCTAAAACCTAAAATTAAATTAACTAGAGGAAGTGTAAATCATAAATAATTGTCCTGTGTCTGGAAAATACTGCCAATCTCTGCAAAAAAGACAGATGTTACAAGGTTACACCAAGATCCTGATGCTAATACAATTGTGGTTCTTATGTGGTTTGCTTTCAAAAATGCTGTACCCCTGAACTTTGGCTACTCTATGTGCGGTTATTATTAAAAGACTCGTGTAGTTTTAATTGACTTAATTAGACTGGTTGTCAGAAACTGTCTCGTATGTTTTTTTCACCATCTGGAATGTGCTTCTTGAAGTTCTTGAAATAACAGGCTATAATTACCTAGCCTCCTCTCCAGAATATTTAAATTTCCTTGCAAAGGCAGGAGTCCGAGGGTGATGCCGCACGGCATTCTGGGGAGTGTAGTCCCGTCCGGAAGCTGAACGCCCTCTCCAGCGCCCTGGGTAGTGATTCGGGGCGGGAGTTCTAATCCTTTTTCCGCAAACGTCTTTCAAGCGTCCAGAGGGCGGGTTTCTACGGTTACTTTGGAGTGGTCAGCAGGGCCTGCGCATGCGTACAGCTGCTTTGCGTCGCACGTTCGACGGTGTTCTGGGAGTTGTAGTCCGAGGTTCCCGGCCCTCCGAGGGTGTTAGCTACCTTCTGAACTCCCAGGGAGGATGGATCCCGGGACTGACTCGGCGCCGCTTGCCAGCCTGGTTTGGTCGTCGGCCTCGGTGCCGCCGCCGCCGGGTTTCAGTGCGGTGAGTGGGAGTGGGGAGGCGCAAGGGTTGCGGGGACGAACCAGGGAGGGGATGAAGCCGGCTGACCTGTGCCACCCGCAGATCACCTGCACCGTGGAGGGCGCGACTGCCAGCTTCGGCCGAGGCTTCGCCCAGAAGGCCGGCTACTTCCTGTGTCTGAGCACACTGGGCAGCCCGGAGGTGAGCACGAGCGATCTGAGCCTGCCCTGCCCCTCGCCCTGCCCGCCGACATCCTCGACCCTCCTCCAACTCTCTCCGACCCTTACTGTTCTCACAGTTGACCTTTCCCCATCCCCGCTGACTGCCCCCTTCCACCTGCCCCCTTTCGTGCTCCCAGAACCCTCAGGACAATGTGGTAGTGGACATGCAGATCGTGATGGACAAGGGCCCCCTGCCGTCAGGCTTCTCTACAGTCAACGACCCTCAGGACACCAGTAAGATCCGTGGGCATGGGACAGCGACAGGCACAGGGAACGGCTGTCTGGTATATATCTGGAATAGGACCTAGCTGGGTAGGGAGACCCAACCAGTAAATGCAGAACTCGGGAGGCTGAAGCAGGAGGATAGTGGGGGAGTTCAAGGCCAGCCTAGGCTACAGAGTGAGACCTTGTCTCAACCCACTACTCCAAAATTAAATAATTGACAAATACCTGTCTTAGCACTCAGGCTGAGGCTCCGAGTTAGTATTCAGCCTGGGCTACAGAGTGAGACCTTGCCCCAGCCTTTCCTAAGAATTTGAGCATAGTGGGACACACCTAACACTAGCCTGGGCTACATGAAATCGCGCCCCTAAACAAACAACAACCCCAGGTGTCTTTGGCATACCCACCTGCCTTCCTCACTGACACTGATCACTGCTGCTTGCCCTCCGATTCTGTGGCGGAACGAGTCCTCCTGGCCATTCTCTTTTCCTTTCCAGGCTCTTGCACAGCGAGTCCGCCTGGAGCTGGCTTTCCTTGCTCTCTGCATAGCTCAGCCTCCCCTCTCACTTCTCCCCTGCCTGACCCAGCTGCCCGCCTCCCCGATGGTGCTTGGTTCTCTCGGTGTCTTTAGTGACCGCTGGCAGGCTGCCGTGCAGAGGGTCAGGTCAGTGTGCAGACAGAGGAGGCTTACACAAATTCTCCTATCCTCCTTTTTCAGCTGTCTCTTGACTTGGTGTTTAATTGTTTGGGGGACAGGGTCTCAATGTGCAGCCCTGGCTGGCCTGGAGCTTCAGTCCTTTCCTTTAGGATTCATGGGCATGAGCCGTCATGACCAGCCCCTTCTAATCTGCAAGGTGTGGGGACTGCTGTTCTTCATCCCAGCACTTGAGAGGCTGAGGCAGGAGGATTGCTTTCAGTTCAGTGCCAGTTTGGGCTATGTGGTGAATTTCAGGGCAGCATCAACTACAGAGTGAAAAAAGCTAGGGGTGGCTATTAGCTGAGTCACCCAGAGTGCACCACGCCTGGCCCCACACCACACCACACCAACAGACTCAAGGGGTTGAGGCAATATTGGGAATTCAGGGTCATCCTTGGCTTGATTTTGAGGCCAGCCTGGGCTACATGAGATTGTCTCACAAACACAAATATATGCCCATGATAGTAAATAGCCTCCTACCCTCATGGACCGCACAACAGCCGTAGGTTGGTTTTTTTTGTTTTGTTTTGTTTTTTTTTTTGTTTTTTGGGGTTTTTTTTGAGGAGTTCTGTGATTCCTTGGGTTAAAGGACCAGGGAAAGTGAGGTTGGGGTGCTAAAATAGATATTCCACTGTTGCCGGACAGTGGTGGCGCACGCCTTTAATCCTAGCACTTGGGAGGCAGAGGCAGGCGGATTTCTGAGTTCGAGGCCAGCCTGGTCTACAGAGTGAGTTCCAGGACAGTCAGGGCTACACAGAGAAACCCTGTCTTGAAAACAAAACAAAACAAAAAACAAAAACAAAAAAAAGAAGAAGAAGAAGAAAAGAAAAGATATTCCACTGTTGATTCCACAGTCCCCTTCAAATATTTATGTCAAATGTCCATCTGTTTCACTGATTCCAAAAAAGTTAGTGAATCTACTACGATTATACCATTTATGATTTAACCAGTTCCCAGTGTGGTCCCTGACAGTGTTGTCCCTATGCGGTACTGGTGGGCATCCTCCGGTGCTCCGGTCCCGGTGCTCCACTCCCTTCTTACTCCCTGCCCCCACTCCCAGAGGCCTCTGTGTCCAAGAAGAAACGCATGTGTGTGAAGCTGATGCCCCTGGGAACAGCTGACATGGTCGTGAGTGATGTAAAGCTCAGTGGGAAGACCAAGACAGTGCCTGGATACCTGCGAGTAGGGTAGGTGGGCCCTGCCCCAGCCCCTGCCCTGGCCCTGGCCCCTGCCCTGGCCCCTGCCCTGGCCCCTGCCCCGGCCCCTGCCCTGGCCATGTTGCGTCCTGATTTTTCCTGCATCTCTGCTTGTGAGGATGGCATCTCATGGGCCCTGTGGTCAGCATGAGAGTGAGATGCTAAAAGAAAAATACCCCCCAAACGGTGGCCACCTGGAGAGGCTGCGAAGGGCACCGATGCCCTCCTCTCTTTCCCTTACTCCAGGGACATTGGTGGCTTTGCCATCTGGTGCAAGAAATCCAAAGCCCCAAGACCAGTGCCCAAGCCTCGCACGCTCAGCCAGGACATTCGAGGTCTCTCACTGGATCCACCCAAAGAGCCCAGGTGAGGCTCAGGCACCCCCAGGGACAGATGGGCCAGGAAGAAGACTTCAGGCCTCACTGAAGTCACTGTCCCTTGCTCCCCAGCAAAGGCTGCCACCCAGAACGGACACTGTCCAGGTTGGGCTCTCGGGCTTCCACTCTACGGAGGAATGACTCCATCTACGAGGCGTCCAGCCTCTATGGCATCTCAGGTGAGCACAGAGTGGAGAAACTACATCTGGGGTGGAAGGTGAAGTCTTGGGTTCTTCCCAGGCCTGTGCCCTGGGAGGACATGGACTGAGGTGCGGCCACTCCTTCGCTTGCCCTACCAAGCATTTGGTTGTAAGATTTATTTTTATTTTATATGTATGGGTGTTTTGTCTGTGTGTCTGTGCTCCATGTGTGAGCATGGCCCTGGGAGGCCAAAAGAGGGCGCTGGAGCGCTGGAACGGGTTAAAAGGATTGTGAGCTGCCATGTGGGTGGTAGGACCTGAACCCAGGTCCTCTGCAAGAGCAGCCAGTGCTCTTAACTGCTGAGCTGTCTCTCAAGGCCCCAAACTGTATTTTCCCCCTTGGTGGCTGTGGAGGGGGCGACTGGGACCTCCTGCTCTGCAGGTGCTCAGGGCAGAATCCAGGGTGTTTTGCGTGATGCTTTTCATGCGTGATATTAACACACTTAACACCAACGGGGCACCACTGACAGACCAGGGCTGTGAGAGCCACCTAAGGGAACTAGGGCTTGGATTTGCAGTTCATGGGTGAGTTCCAGGATTGTGTGGGACCCAGAAGCAGCCTTAGTACCAGAAAATCTCATCCCACAGGGCTGACAAGCCCACAGCTACATAGATGGGTCACCTAAAGGGAGCTTTCCACATTCTGTGGACCCGAGTGGGTTATGTGTGATTAAGGAAGAAGTCAGCAGGAGGAAGGGGGTCAACTCTCAGACGAGTCCAGTGACCTCCACCCAGTCTCCTGTGAGGGACCACAGCCACCAGCCCGATCTCAGGGTTACTTTACAACCAGTCAGGACAGCTCTAACAGAGATCAGCCTGTGCTCCCTAGGTGGTCAGGGTCACATCGGGAGGCTACAGCCTCTGGGTTCTTCTTTCCCAGCCTTCCTGGGTTCTTTCGTTGCAGCCATGGATGGGGTTCCCTTTACCCTGCACCCGAGATTCGAAGGCAAGAGCGGTGGGCCTTTGGTGAGTCGGCAGTGTCTGGGGCTGTGACATTCCTGCTTCCGTGTGACTGGTACGACGGCCGTGATGTGACTGGGGGACCAGAGGCGAGGAGGCTCAGGGCAGGCCTGTGGGAAGTGGGTTAGACTGAGGGCTAGCATCTGTGGGGCCAATCCGAAAACTGGGAGCATTAGGGGCAGGCATGATGGTGCACTCAAGACATCCCAACACTCAGGCGCCAGAAACTGGGAGTTTGAAGCTCATATGAGTTTGAAGCCAGACTGGGCTACTTGAGCCCCATCTGGGAAGTTGAGGCATGCCTGAAGAGGTGGCTGAGTCAGTAAAGGCACTCGCCACTGAGCCTGACCTAATTTCAGTTCGTGGGTCCCACATTAGCAGGAGTTATCCTATGACATCATAGACAGGCCTTGGCGAGTGTGTGTATGTGTGTGTGTACACACTACAGTTGAGTGGGACTCCGGTCTCACATTCTCACTTCTGTCCATTAGAACTTGTCTGCCTTTGGGGACCTGACGATTAAATCACTGGCAGACATTGAGAAGGAGGTAGGTACAGGGGTGCGTGAGGTGCTGGGACCCTACCCCGTGCCCTTGTCTGCCCCCAGTCCTCAGTCATTCCCAGCACCCACCCCCAGGCCCTAGGCCCTCCTTTAGCCCCCACCCCTCTGCTCCCCAGTATAACTATGGCTTCGTGGTAGAGAAGACTGCAGCTGCACGCCTGCCCCCCAGCGTCTCATAGGCCAGCCGCAGGTGCCACCTGGCCGCCACCTGCCTCGCAGACATTGCTGATGGACACCCAGCCTCTCAGCCCGGCTGCTTGCACAGAGGGTCTCTTGCCTGGTGGTACAAAGCAATGGCCTTCTTTTGTCAGAAGTCTGCGTCTCAAGGCTGCGTATGCGCCAGCAGTAAATGCTACCTGGGTTCCACTGTGTGGAGTCTTTTGTTTTCTTTTTTTAAGATATATTTTGAATTACATACATGTATGCGTGTGTCTGCATGTGTGTGTGTGTGTGTGTGTGTGTGTGTGTATTGGTGCTCTTGGAGGCCAGAAGAAGGCATTGAATTTCCTGGAGCTGGGGTCGCAGGAGTCCCCTGACGTCGGAGCTGAGTACTGAACCCATGTTCTATGTAAGACCTGTATGTTGTTTATGAGATAGGGTCTCAAGTAGCCCAGGCTGGCTGAAAACCCAGTACTTAGCCTAAGGTGCTCTTAAAGCCCTGGTCTTCCTGGGGTTGCAGGTCTGCTCTGCCACACTTGGTTTGTGCAGTGCTGGGTGTGGACACTAAGAATGTTCGCTGCCAGGCACGCTCTCTGAGCTGAGACATACCAGCTATGCACTGGGCAGCTGAGCTGTGGCCTTGACCTTAGCTAGTTATTTTAATTTCTAAGTATTGGAGTTTCTTGGAAACTGGTTTCATGTCACTTATCCAGGATGGCTATGAACCTGTTAACTTTTATTTGTGGGAAGGGGCGCCTCAGGATGTCCCTAAAACTGGCTAGGTGCACTAGGCCTTGCCCCCCGAGCATGTATAAGCAGTAAAGACTGCTGAGAGTTGCTGTCAGCCGCTGTGCAGTAAGCTCCAGGCCCCTCTGTGAGCCGTCACTCTGCTGGGTGACATATAAAGTGGAGACAGAGCTGTCTTGGAGTCATTTCTACTCCTGTAAGTAACCTCAGTAAGACTCAGTGGTTTGCCAAGTTGGTGTTGGTGCTTTGGTCTGTGGGTAGTTCCCTAATTGGGGAACATCTCCCTAGATGGGTCCATACAACATCTTCCACCATGTGGGTCCTGGGGTTTGAACTCAGATTGTCAAGCTTGGCTGCAAGCACCTTTCCCTGTTGTGCCGTATCGCTAGCCATCTTAATTTACACGTGGAGTTCACCCACAGAAATATGGATCCTCCCTTTGCTTACAAGCCCTGGAGACTGGCAGTACTTAAAAACCAAGCTGTATACTTGACAATCTTGTGAGGCGGGCTGTGAGCCGCAAGTGACGTGCACACAGGCTGTCTGCAGGAACATCTGTAAACCCTGATGAATAGTGAATAAGTGGCATGCACACAGGCTGTCTGCAGGAACATCTGTAAACCCTGATGTAAGACACATTCCCTATGCCCAGGGGCTAGAGCTTTATGAGCTTTATTTGAATTACATTTTGGTTTTGGTTTTGGTTTTGGTTTTTGGTGTTTTGTTTTGAGAGGATTTCTCTGTGTGGCTCTGTCTTGTAACTCGTTCTGTATACCAGGCTGGCCTGAGACTCAGCCTCTGTCTCCTAGGTGCTGGGATTAAAGCGTGTACCACCAGTGCCTGGCATGGAAGTTAATTTTTATGTGTATGTATATCTATGTGTATATGTATGCAGGAGCCCTTGAGGGCCAGAAGAAGGCACTGGGTCTGGAGCTGGTGTTACAGGTGGCTGTGCACACTGGGTGCGGGTGCTCTAGAATAGCAGAGGCGGCCCTGAGGGCTGAGCCATCCTCCAGCCTTACATCTGTTCTTACTCCTTCCATCTGCCGTTGTTTCTCTTTTTCTGAACAAAGACCGTGCTTGGTGCTTCTCTGTCTGATTTCAAGATTAACAGACTCCTGAGGCAGCCTGGCTGTTGAGCAGGCTGGGGGGAGACCTAAGCCTGTGGGTACCCGCAGGGCCTGTTGTTTTCCCCGTATCTGTAGCCAGACCTCTGCCAGCTTGAGGCACCTTTGGAAACAAGCCCTCAGGTTTTGTCTGACATCGGAGGCCTTTGCAGAGTCTTTGTGCTTTAGAACTGCAGAGGGCAGGATGGAAGGCTGGCAACAGCAAACTGGTAGGGCCTGATGTTCAGTGGGCAGAGTGTGAAGGTATACACACTTGGGAGTTAGAGGCAAGAGGATCAGAATTGCAGTGTCCTCCTTGACTACAGTAGGCTAGCCTGTGCTACATGAGAGCCTGTCTCAAAAATAAAAAGATAGGCTAGTGTAGTGGCACACACCTTTAATCCCAGCTCTTGTTAGTCAGAATAGGTGCCTCTGTGAGTTAAAGGATAGCCTGATCTACATAGTTCCAGGACCCCCCAGGGCTTTGTAGAAAGACCTTGTCTAAAAAAAAGCAAATAAATAAAATAATTTTTAAAATAAAGAAAAAAGACCCCACATGGGAGAGCCAGCCCTGTGTGAACAGCACATAGGACATGTGCTCACAAAGTGGCTGCCAGCTCGGTCCAGCCCACAGGGAGGTCACAAGTGTCCGTGAGCCTGCGAGAGGTTTGGGGTACGAATACATTTAGTATTTACAACTTCTGCCAAACACATGCAGATATTTCAGGAAGGCGGGTGCTGTGCTACCCTACTGAAGAGTAGGCTAGCAGAAGAGTTGGCTAGCTACTGAAGAGTACGCTGAGGCAGGTGAATCACCCCGAGTTCCAGAAGGTGTTCAAAGGATTCCCTCAGCTAGGATGCCAACAACAAAACATTCTAGCAAAGTCCACCTTGGTGACCCAGTGAGTTCACTGGGCTTACAGAGCATGGTAACGGGTGTGGAGGACTCCAACATAGCCACAGTACTGGGAAATGGTAGCCAGTGGGGCTGATGACCCCCATAGCTGTGTAGCTGGGATCCCCCACTTGCCTCCAGACCACAGCTGTAGGATTAGGGGAAAAGCACAGGAGGGAGGGAGGGAGGGAGGGAAAGAGGGAGGGAGGGAGGGAAGGAGGGAGGGAGGGAGGGA